ACACACACACACACACACACACACACACACACACACACACACACACACACACACACACACACACACACACACACACACACACACACACACACACACACATTTATATATATATTCATTTAGTGATTTAAAATTGTCAGTGCAGGTATACATCGCTTGCATATTGCATACCTGTACAGCATTCTAGATATATGTATAAAGATTGAACACATTTAGAGATTACGTGATAACGACTCAACACATATGTAGTACTGTGTTAATTTTTAAACTTGAATTTTGATACATATATTGTTGTGGTTAAACAAAAATGAATAGTTGAAGTAATGAAATTTGGGAGAATATTGTGCTTGTGAATGAATATGCATATTTAAATCGTACAGTGGAAACCGCATACCGGCCAAGAATTCTTTCTCGTATTCATTTATCACCGACAAAGTTGTTTTTTTCGGACTTTTGTCACGACTTATTTCTAAATAGAGAGATAGTCATAATCATTTCACGAACCGTATAGTTTTGTTGTTTTTTACGCAATTCTCGCATAATTTTAGTTGTATATCGGTGTATTCGCACGAACAGGTGTTCATACTATAATCCTTAATATTTTTGCATGATACCGATTGTAGAATATTGAGCAGCAGAAGTTCTTTTCAGTCTGTGGGGGTCATTTCTTATTTAAACAAACGTCATAAACGGTTGGGCAGGTTTTATATAACATATTCCATACCGTTGTTTAAAAATTGAATTGAGAACATATGCACCTGTTCGATAATCTCGTTCTTTTTCAAAAAGACCAACCTTTGTCATCGATTGCGAATCAGTTCCGATTCCTTGGGCTAGACAGCATGTGAAGCCAAAGCAATAATCCTCAGACAACATTCAAAGCCAACATATGAATTCAGGATTCTCGATAAACTCAACCCCTGATATATAATATTCATTACTTGATGCCGGTATTGCAGTCTTACTTGTACTACCGTACACTGCCTTGCCTGTTGCGTCCCTTCATCTGTACATCATAAGTCAGACTCTCTTTTGTTATGTATTGTATGCTGCCGGTACAATTACCGTATATATCGGTCATGTATTGTATGCTGCCGGTACAATTACCGTATATATCGGTCATGTATTGTATGCTGCCGGTACAATAACTGTATACCGGAAACAGTCATCCCGTGTTCGCGTAGTTTATTGAGAAGTTGGTGCCACGTCCCTAAAATCGAGTCTTACCCGAGAGCTATTATGTAACACAGAATGACCCGCAGCACGTGGCTGCAGAGTCCTCGTAAGGCTCTTCTGCTCGTGCTGCTGGACCAGGATGGATACACCACCTTCTACGAGTTCTTAAAATCCGAATACGCGACCGAAAATCTCGAATTTTGGACCCGGCTGGAACTGATTTTTTCGGGCCACACCCGCAAAGAGGTGCTAGAGATCGGGTCGTCCCTGCTGGAGGAGTTCGATGAGGAGTCTCTAAATATACGCGACTCACTGAGGAATGAAGTTGTGGAGATTTTGGGGTATGTCTACACAAATGCGTACACAAAGTTAAGCTTCGATTTGTATGTGAATTTGTTCGTTTCGATGAATATGTGCTGGGCGTTTGTAGTGGCGGGATCATCTCAACTGCGCGTCTTTTAAATACCACGCCCTTAAATTGAATACAATGATCGTACCACTCAAAAGAATGGAATGGTCGTACCTTTCAATTGAACGGAGTGGTCGTGGCGTTGCGATTTCGGGCTGTATTGGGTGACAGGCGAAACCTTAAATTTCTGTGAACTTGCCTGTGTGCTTAAATTATGCGTTGCTCTGAGTATAATCTACGGTAAAGGTCAACTGCCTTCGCGCCTGATTTTATATCGATATCCCTGATAGCGGAGGCGGCAAACAGCCGTTGAAATATATATCCATACGCACTTTCATTGTTTCTGACTACAACTTCGGTCGTTGCAGACAGATTCTAATCGTTCACTACGCTCTTAGAAGTTTATGGCCGTACTAGGCTGACCAAATGAGTCGCATCTCAGAGCGATAACGTACGCGTATATTATATCATCGACTGTTAAACAAATTATCGACCTACGTTTCGAGTGTACTATCAGTATTGATATTGATATACGCCACTTTGGCTTTGAAAAGCAGTGCGAGGAATGAGGTCCGTTGCATAGCCTGTCTTTGTTGTATAAGTCATTGGTGTTACGGTGTGAGGAGTGTTTGAAGCTTGCAGCACGTAGCATTGCAAGTATAGTGATAATAATAATAATAATAATAATAATAATAATAATAATAATAATAATAATAATAATAATAATAATAATAATAATAATAATAACAACAGTAATAATAAT